GTCCGTGCTCGGGGAAGCAGACGCAGCCGGAGGGGCTGGAGGGGTGTTCAGCCCCAGGCCTGGCTGTTTCATACCGTTGGGCAGGCAGCTGCGGGAGCGCTGGGCTTTGCTCTCCCTGCGCGAGGAAAGCCCGAGGAGGGCTCGGGGGTCTTGTTACTGATGGTTACGCTGCAGGAAAAGCAGATTAGCAGAGAGGTCTTTGTTCTTGCTGTAGCCCCTTGTGGAGGGACAACTTCTCTGGCCCTGTTCACACAGGAGAATCGTGCTCGTTGCTGTCAGTAGGGTTCCTTAGCTGGACATTCGTTCTGCAATCCTTGTAGCCTTTTTCCTTCCAGTTCATTTTCTGCCTTACACTGCCTGAGCATCGCGTGAGGATTCTGTGAGGCAGGCTCCCGGTGTGGTTTCACACTGCTTTCTCTAGAGGGTCACGACACCACCATCAAACAGGAGGACAGGTTGCTCCAGGGGCCACCGATACCGCTTTCTTTTCTGTAAAGTCACGGCTGGTGCTCAGGCTGACGACGTGTTTTGAGTGGCAGACTCAATTCCGAGGGCTTGTTTTCAAAGCTGGTGGGGTCCTTGACTCGGTTGTGCAGCACGAGAATTCACTCCCCAGTTGGAGGGCTGGGGAGAAGGGAAGGGAACGGCGTGACCTGGGTCTTCTCTTCCACTCCTGGGGTCGGGGTCTCCAGTGTTCCCACCGCAGCGGTGCGGTACGGTGGCTCGCTGCCAGGTGCGGCCCTGGGTCACCACCCACGGGCAGGGGTGCCTGTAGACGAGGACGCTGGCAAAACCAGGGGACTTGGCTGCTCCCCGTCTGAAATAACCTGCTCGCTTTGCCAGGGCTGCTGGTGGGAGATGTGTCTGACGGCAGCCCTTTGCTGTTTGTGTCCAGGCGGCAGGGCCACGGCTAGCGCCGACGCAGGCGGGGATAGGCCTGAGGCTGAGGAGAACAAGGAGGGATTCCTTTCCAAACTTAAGAAAATGTTTAGCTCCTGACACCCCACCCGAGGTAGGAATCCTCTTGTGTTCTACTGTCCTTTCCCCGTGCACCAAGCAGAACTTGTGCTCCCTTGGGAGGTAGGAGCAGCAGAAGCGCAGCGCTGCTCCTCACTTAGCCTCAGGCCTTCCAGCCACCGGTGTGAAAAGCCCTAGCTGTCCCCTGTGACCTGGAGCAAAAAGCCAGGGGCTAAACCGCGTTGTTGCTGCAGCGAAGAAGCAGCAGGGAAGCTGGGTGTGTCCTTAGGGAGGTCGCTGGCCTCCATTGCAGCTCTGCTTCCCGGTCCGCTGGCGGGCCGTACCCCATGCAAGGCACGGAGAGTGTTCCCCTTAGCTGCTGGGGCTGGGGCCGGGCAGTTCTGCTGCCGGGGGGGCTCAGGTGGGTCTGCGGAGCCTCCGGTGCCCCACGCTCAGGCTGGGCTCGCCCCTGCCCCAGCCTACAGCACCAGGAAGGAGTTGGTCTTTGTCGTGAGGCACAGCACAGCCCCGTCGCAGAGCTCTGACTCGGGGTGCCGCTCGGTCCGTGTTGGCCTGTGCTGAGGGAGCGCTGCAGGCTTGGAATCCGCCGTGGCAGACCCTGGTCTCTGGGGTTGCAGGGGCTCAGCTTTCTGGCGCCGCAGGCTTCGGACTTGTCTGACGGGGCCTGACGGCCGGTGCTCTCGCAAGGTGTAGGGGCTGCTGCGCGCCTTAGGCCGAGTACTTCAGGAAACGGGAAACTTTTCCTCTTGCTTCGGCTGCAGGGAAGCGTTCCACTGGAAACTGAGAGCCAGCAGATCTTCGTTGCAGTCGGGGATGAGTCTTTCTGGCAGCAGGCTCTGGAGAGTGAAGGATGTCCGTCAGCAGCACAGTGAGAATCCCAGCTGGAGAGGCTACGTCCCACGGAGGCACCCACAGGCATGACACAAACCTCACCCGCCAGCGTAGGAAAGGCAGGGAAGGAAAATGCCAGCTCTGCAGAAATGGGGCGCTCCCTCGAGGTTCCTCCTGCTGCTGGAAGCTGATCTGGTAAAAACGAACATCAAAATGTTACTTAGAATCCCAAACAGTGGAAGATGTGGAATAAAAATTGTCCTTCTAGAACGGAGCGGAGCAGTTTGCTGCGTGGAGTCCAGGATGGCTGCTGCTCGCTCCGGTGCCCTTCTGAGTGTGCTCGGCGAGCTCGGCACCGCTCCTGTTCTAGGAGGCTTGGGGTGAGTTTTAACCCTGTCTTCACACAGCCCGTCACGCTGTCCTGCACACCCCGGGGTGGGAAGTCTCCCCGTCGGAGCCCTGCCACCCACGCTCCCTCAGCAGCCGTGGGCTCTCTTCGTCCTGCTGCTGTCCCCATGGAAGAGCAGTGCTGGAATCTGCCCTTTGCCTCAGGTTTCCCTCCCTCCCCAGCAACGAAAAGTCACGACCCAAACACTGTTGCTTCTCCATGGGTACAGGTTTGTCACCAAGCCCCTCGCCAGCTGGGGACGAAGTCCCCAGGATGGGGACTGGGATGCCCCTGGGATGGGCTTCTGGGCCTATCGACCGCTTGACCAAGGACGTGGCCTGCTCTTGCCCTTCTGAGTTTGCTGACATTAAGCACGTGTTGCCTCCCAATTCGGCTGTTGGTAAAGCGATTCTGTATCCATGTAAATAAGATTGGACTTCATAAAGATATTTAACACGTGCTGTGCCTTGCTGCCTCGTCTGTCGCCCCCGTTCCCTCCCCCGCTGACGGGAACCAGGGTCTTCTCTGGGCCGAGGAGAGGAGAGGGAAGCCTCGGGATCTCCCGAGGCTGTGGAGAGGGTCTTCTGGCCCAGCAGCGGCCGCCGCAGGTGGCGCTGGGGGGAAGGAGCGTAAGTGGGGTTGATGTCGTGGTCAGGTCTGTGTTACAGTCATAGAAACGGAACACGGGGGGCGTTTGCTTTGCTCCAGGATCCTCTGGGGAGATCTGTGTAAAGATTTGGGGGGAAAACAGTGTCGTCAGAGGCTGCTGGGGCCTTTCCGTGCTTTGCTCTCAAAGCCTGTGAGAGCTCCCTCAGCCACTGTCACCTCACCACCCCCTCGGCCACCGGCCAGCCGTGCCGCAGGGGAAGATGTGCGTGTACAGGTTGAGAGGCAGCCTCACGAGAGCTGGATGGAAACGGACCCCCCAGCGCAGGTCTGCTAACGGGACGGGCTACGCGTCGCCGACTTCCGCTTGTTCCCACCTTTCCCAAACCACCCTGACAGCGGGAGCTTTGGGCTTAAACCACGAGCCATTGGGTGCAGACTGGGATGGCAGCAAACTCTGCTGTGGCCTGTAATTATCCCGTTGTTTTGGTGAGCTACACTTCCCTCCTCCCCTGGGCACTGCTGTTCTGTCCGGGGGTGCTGCTGTGCCACCCTGCCCTCCTGCCTTCAGGGACCTCTCTGCTCAGCATCTTGGAATTAACGGGATTTGCCTCAATGCCAGCAGAATCTGCCCTAGGATTTACACATTAAGGGGTTTGTAGGACCAACGTGCAAAATAACGATCCATCCCGCGTGCCTGAGCGGGGCTGGGGAGGGGAGATCCCGCTCCGTGGGCGCAGTGCTCCGTGGTGCCAGGCCATCCACCCCTTCAAACTCACGGCAGCGCTGGCAGGCAAGCAGCGTTGGAGGAAGGGGAGGTTATTCCCGCCCCATTATCCTGCTCTTTCGAGATACGACTTGAATTTACCGGTGGAAACGTCGCTGTGAACGACCCGGTGAAGGGCTGTGAGACCAGGCTCTATAGGGGAGCCCCCCCAGCGCTGGGGCGAGCTCCTGGTTCTGCGTTGAGGGCATCCGGTACCGCGTGGGCCTTGGTCACCCTGGCGTTGCGGGGAATTGGCTGTGTGCCGGGCATCCCGCCGGGGCAGACCCCGCTGTCCGGGGGTCACGCAGGCTCCGGGCGGTTACCGCACGCGGTTCGTCGGCTGATAACGTGCCTCGCTTTGCAGAGGCGGCAGCCCTGCGCTGACAGGAAGGAAGACCG